TGGTGGAGAGCATGGGACATGGCATGGTGGAGAGCATGGTGGAGAGCATGGGACATGGCACTGTGCGGAGCATGGGACATGGTATAGTGGAGAACATGGGACATGGCGTGGTGGAGAGTGTGGTGGAGAGCATGGGACATGGCATGGTGGAGAATATGGGACACAGCATGGTGGAGGGTTTGGGTGGTGGCATGGAGCATGGTGTGGTACATAGCGTGGGACATGGCGTGGTGGAGAACATGGGACATGGCATGATGGAGAATATGGGACATGGCATGGTGGAGAGCGTGGTGGAGAGCACGGGACATGGGGTGGTGGTGGACATGGTGGAGAGCAAGGGACATGGCACGGTGGAGGACATGGTGGAGAGCAAGGGACATGGCACGGCGCACACCATGGGACACACCGCACGCTGCATGGCCTAGTGGAGATCACGGGACACCCTAGGGCTCAGGTCTGCACCCATGGGCCCCACACCCACGTGCACAAGCACCTCCCACCACATGTGGCACCCGTGGCGGCCTTGCTCACCAAGGTCCCTTCTGGGGTGCTGGCTGCCGCTCTCGGAGGTGGAGCTGCCGGTCCGGGTCCTGCTCCTGAGCAAAACCTGAGGGCGGACACGGGTCAGGTGCCACCATGGCACCCGCCTTGGTGGCCCCTTGGGCACCTCCATGGGTGCCACCGAGTCTCACCTCCTCCTCCCTGCCCACGAGCACCAGGTGGCCGTCCACCAGCGAGAAGTTGGAGACGTCCCACACTGGGGCATCAGGCACGGGGGCCAGGATGGGTGGCACCACAGGGCTGTTCTCTGGTGCTGCGGGCACAGAGGAGGGTGTCACGGCTGGGTGGCCACCAGCCGTGGCACAGCCTGGCCTGGTCATGCCCATGGTGATGCCAGGACACACGCGGCCCACGGCCTTGCCATGGTTGGGGCAACGGTGCCGCAGGATGCGTGGCGGTGGCCATGCCACCACCCTTGTGGCAATGCTGGGGTACAGTCATACTTGGTTGGCATCATCACCCCCAACCTTCACCATCACCCACCACCCATCCTCCTCAGCCTGTCATGATCACCCTCCATCATTGCCCACCACCCATTGCTCCCAACCCATCACCATCATGCCCAAGCTGTTGCCATCACCCAGCACTATCCCCCACTACCTTCAACCCATCATCATCACCCTCCATCATCATCCACCACCCATCACCCCAACCCATGACCATCACCCTTCATCATCCATTGCTCCCAACCCATCGCCATCATGCCCAAGCTGTTGCCATCACCCACCACCTTCAACCCATCACCCCTACCCTTCATCATCACTCACCACCCATCACCCCAACCCATGACCATCACCCTTCATCACCCGTAGCTCCCAAGCCAYCACCATCATCCTTCATCATCATCTACCACCCATCACCCTCAACCCATCACCATCATCCCCAACCCATCACCCCCAGCCCATCACCCTTAGCCATCACACACCACCCATAACCCCAACCCATCACCCTCACCCTTCGCCATCACCCACCACCCATCACCCTCAACCCATCACCCTCACCCTTCATCATCACCCACCACCCATCACCCCCAACCCATCACCCTCACCCTTCGCCATCACCCACCACCCATCACCCCCAACCCATCACCCTCACACTTCATCATCATCTACCACCCATCACCCTCAACCCATCATCATCACCCACCACCCATCACCCCCAACCCATCCCCATCACCCTTCATCATCATCTACCACCCATCACCCTCAACCCATCACCATCACCCACCACCCATAACCCCAACCCATCCCCATCCACCATCACCCCCAATCGCTCACAACCACTCTCCATCGCCACCCACCACCCATCGCACCCAATCCCGCAGACCTGTCCCCCGCGACGTCCCCGTACCCAGTGCATCATGGGCCACCCGCTCAGCCCTGGCCCCGCTCTCYACAGGACCTTTCTTCTTGGACATGGAGCGCAGGTACTTCTGCAACGTGGTCTTGCCACCCTCACCACCCCGCGGCTCCTTGGCCACCTTGGAGGGCGCTGAGAAAGCCCTTTGGAAGAGGGACCTCCTGGCGCTGGCTTTGGCCGCTCCGGTGGTCCCGGAGCCGCCTTTTCCGACGGCATCCTCGGCGCCATCGGATTCCGGTTGGCTGTAGGACCGTTTCCATCCCTGGAGCCGGGCCCACCGGCGGCTCCCCGGCGACGCTGAGGCCCGCTCGGCCTCCCGCCACTTGTAGGTCTTGAGCAGCGTGTCGGGTCCCACCAGGGGCTTTTCCAGCTCCATCTGCGGGGACAGGGGTGACCCTGGTGGCCTCGGCACGGTGGGCGCTCGTAGGATGGGGTGGGAGCTCGGGTGGAGGGAAGGGGACCTTGGAGAGGGCACCTGTGTCCCTGTCGTGCTGGGGCACCCTGGTCTGGGCACCCAGGTCCAGGTGTCTGTGGGCACCCAGATCCTGGTGTCCATGTCCAGATGTCCCTATCCAGGAACTCAT